TCTTATCTGTGAAACATGGCCTCCCTTTTTTCAATATTTTTGTTGTGAAACCATCTTATAACAGCAAGGGAGAGACCAAATAAATCACTGATACAAAAATGCAGATTTTTGGAAGGCAAAAAAGTTAACTAACTGAAGGGTCAATGTCTGCCTGGACTAACACTTAGCAACATAGAGGATAAAAACACAGAAAGAAGTGTTGCTAGAAAATGTGAAAAGCATTTATTTTGCTTTTTTTTTCTTTGAGCATCACATGCTGTAGCCAACCCCATGCTATGAAGTACATAGTATCTACTTTTTACTAATCTACTTTGCATGATCTTCTGGTTTTATTTTTAACCTGTTTTAATAAAAATGATAAACTTACGGATTGCATTAGCAATTTTCCTGGCTTTGGAAGGAATAAAATATTTAGATAATTATGAAAGCAGGGAAATAGCTTGCCCTTTTTTTAAAGTCAGTTTTACTTGATACTTGGAACCCACCAATGGACAATTTCCATGGGAAATAAAGGCTAAACCACAAGAAAAACATTTCTCAAAACAATAGTCTGAAGTTCTTCATGCTGGGGAGGAACTGGACTCCCCTTACAATGCAGGGACATAGCTGACTATATGTCTGATCCTAAACTATGATGAAAATGAATAACTTTACTCCAGGAAAAGTAGCATTGATTTCCTCTAAGCATGTAACTCAGTTATATCAGGAAATACACCACATTAAGTCTTTACTTTCTTACTACATCTTCTAGCTATCCCTGACAAAACGTGACTACTTTACCTCAGCTCACTTACAAGTGAGCAGACTTGCACTGACAACACTGCATATTTCTTTTCATTTCTGCTAAAATAAGTATCTTTGAAACAGTTAAATGTTCATATCAAAAACATAACAAGTAACAAAATCCCACTGTGGGACTGATGTATTTCTCACAGCTATTGCCTTTAGCACAAAATAGGTATCAATCTGACTTTTTATTGAATTCACATTTACTAAAATATTGTCATAATTACGAAAGCTAGGGCCTTTTTTTCTCGATAATTGAAGTGAAAATGTTGACTGTACAGCTCAATTATATTGCTATTGAAAATTGGTGAAGGTT